TTGACAGGTTAAGGAAATCACGTGACCTATTTTGTAGACGCCATTTGACATGATTTCTTAAGCAAAATCTACTGCCAAAATCAAATTTCACATAAAACGATAAATAAAAAAGTTTCCCATTTGACTTTAAGATTAAAACAGTTTTAATCTTCCTCTTTGAAGATGATCACTCGGTGATTGAAACACGTGTCAAGGTGTTAAAAATAACGATTTGGTGTTAGGGAAAAAACTCCAGTAATATTCATCGTACAATATGTTGAATTGATAATGTTAATAATATTTGTTTGCTACAAATTTTGCAATTTCAAATAACTTTAAACGTAGGACCTCAGAGCTGCATGATATTTCAATTTTATTGTATATGCTAATAATTTGATGAAAATATTAGTTTTTGACAGATAAGCAAATCTACGGGTACAACTCAACTCATTTTGTAGCTAATTCGATTTTTCAACTACTCTAGATTCTTAAGTCTATCTAAATGATTATTGATTTCAAATGACCCCATAAAAATCAACAGATGAAATATCTGAGAAACAGGGTTACCCTTGTCTATCAGTTCACCTGCCAGGAAATTTATAGTGTACGTGCAAAGCGTGTTGAAATCAAAAATTGTTTTTTTGGTGAGTTAGGGTCATTGACGTTCGAGGAAATTCGAAATCGATAGTTTTATTTCGGAAGTTTTTGATCCCATATCACATTGGCTAATCAAAGTAGATGCAAGAATTTTGAAAAATAAGAAGCAGTCATCGAATGATGTACACTTCGGCCGAAGTATTGTATCAGTTGAGGAAACTGAAAACACTGTAAAATCAGAAACGGGATTTTTGAAAAACCTAAACGAGAACAAAAGTTCACATGTTGAAAGCGATCTTCAGAATGAATTTTCCTCAGATATCAGAAAGGAGGATGAATTCACACAAATGAAAATAACTAAACATCATACGAAAACAAACAACAACCCTGGAAAAATAAATAAATAATATTATTCACGACAATTCTTAAAATACTAGTGGGGAGGTTTGTATCCTTAATTTATTTTTTCTCAAACCAAAAATGGTCATGAAATTACTTATACACAAAATAATCTTATTGGACATGAGCATAGGTTGATTTTTGCTAACGATATTAGTATTTATTAAGAAAATAATAAATTTCAATGACTGATGTGGTCATAGATCATATTATTGAACACATACTTGGAATATGTACAAATGAAATATTATTTTCATGAAAATATCATTACCCTTGATATAAAAATCATCATCAATTTTCAGATAATTTTAATCAAGGTACCATCAAAAGAAGTTGTAGAAAAAAATCCTCTTACAGATGATTTTTCGATAATAATGGAAGACATTCCATTTGTCACTGAAAACTATGAAAGGGGTATTGTGCTGTGTAAGTTGGACGATTTCCTCCAACTTATAACTTTCCTTTTTAATAATACATATTTTTCATTTGATGGTAAAATTTACAAACAAACTTCTGGTACTCCAATGGGAGCTAAGATTAGCCCCATTTTAGCAGCATATGTCATGGATGACCTGCTAGATTTGATCTTACAGGTACTTCCCTTCAATCTTTGTCAATATGTCGATGACATTATCATATCCCTTCCTCAAGATGAAATATCTGAGATTGTGGACATCTTCAATAGTTATGACCCTTACGTACAGTTCACCATCGAAACTGAGAACAACGAACAGTGGGTTCCTTTCCTTGACACTAAGGTTATCAGAACAACAGATAATACTCTACTCAAAGATTGGTATCGCAAGCCTATCAGTTCTGGTAGGTGATTGAACTATTGGTCATACCATAAGCAATCAACGAGAATCAATTTGGTCAAACAAATGAAGAACTGCATTCTGCAAATTTCCGATCCTTCTTTTCATAATAAAAATTGAAATATACTTTTCCAATTATTCATCAACAACTCCTACCCAGATCCTCTACTTAACCCTTAACTACTAACGTACCGAAGCTGTCACGTTGTCACTAACCATACGTCTCACAGACGGCCATATATTAAATGTGCATATTTTTTTAATTTCACAACTTTTTTTTTCTGAACTATTCAGATATGTTCTTCATATATTTGGCGAACTAAACATGTAGTTCAGAAAATGAAAAAAATATAATTTCAATAAAGATCAACATTTCGTAGAAGAGTTTCAAATTTTCCGCATTTTGACATGATCTATTGAACTGGTGAAAAAATTCGAAATAATACAATTATCGATGAGTTTATAATTTTTCTGGATACATTAAGAGATGAACTGAAACACAGCAGAAAACTGAGTCAAAAACATAAAAAATAAAAAAATTACAATGCCTTGATATTATGAAGTTGACGCACAATCTGGGCACATTTTTTTCGCACACTCTAAGCAAATCGGATTCTGGCAGTCATAACAAACATATGCGGTTCTTCTCTTCTTCCGATAAGAACAAAGAGAACAATTTTTTCTTTTTTCCAACGTTTCTACTCTAGTTTCAGGTAGATTTTCGCCAATTTTTTCACCTAGTATCTCGAAAATACTAAGTCACAATTTCCGGCTCACCTTCGGATTTTTTGATCTCCTCTGTAAATGAGGTGTCACTAATTATAACGCAAGTTTCTTCATGAAATCAGATCTTTCTTTCACAGATTTTTCAGAATAACTATTATATAAAATAAACGAATTGACAGACTTATATCGAATAGTCTATAAAATATAGTGAGTGGCCATCAACGGCTCCTACGACTGCAGGAAAATTTCGAACATTTTTCATCAATTGCGTCTACTCCACCTTTTGTTGAATTGTACTCGAGAATTATATCAGGCTTTCCTGACTCAGGATCTTCACTTTTATGATGATGGGAAGATGACACTAAGAGAACAGCCTTATTTTTTTTTGGTACGTATGAAACTAGTGTTATGTCTTTGGTGAAACCATACAATGAAGATCCAACCAACCTATTCCTATTGGGTAGAAATTGTGATGGAATTTCCTTCTTATTCTTTCTGATAGTGCCGATACTTGTTAACCCTCTTTGTTTCAAAATGTTCACAAGTTCAATAGATGTGAACCAGTTATCAAATGTCACATTTCAGTTTGTATTAGGCGAAGAACACTTTGTGCTGGTTTGCTGAATTTTTTGTCTTCATTCGGCAAGTTTCTTCCATCTGAATCTTTACCTGTATAGATATATCCATTATAGAAATATCCAGTTCCTGCATCTGTGCAACACATAATTTTCAACCCATATTTGTCAGGTTTGTTTGGGATGTACATTTTGAACTTACACCTCCCTCTGAAACTAACCAGCATTTCGTCCACACAAGCATACTCCCCAATCGTGTAGCAATCCTGACAGTTCTGGACAAAAAGATCGAATATTTGGGAAATTGCAGCTGCAGGATCCCCTAAGCTTCTCATCATTCTGTCATCAGGATTATCAAATCTGAGACAAGTGATCAAAAAAGCAAATCTCTCTTTACTCATAATACACCTAATTATTTCTCGACCAGTTCCATCGGTAGCGAATAACGTATTTATATATTCATTATTCGATTTGAATGCGGCCGTGTATGAAAGAAGCCAAAAAAATGCGTACAATTCTATTTTATCGAGATTCTTCAGAGTTGCAGAATTTTCGGTTCTATACCGGCCTCGTTCTGCTTCAATTTTATGGTTGGTCCATTGAAGTATGATACTACAGATTTTTTCAGTGAACAACATTTCCCAAACTTCGAGAAGGCTAGGTTTTTTCCCGAGTGCTTTAGCCGAAGGACGTAGTCCCGGCAAGTGAATATTTTCTTGAAAGAGGCGTCCCCTATTGGAAACAGTAGGCTCACTGGACCATTTGAATATATTTTTTCCATAATAGTACTTCGAGATTGAATTTTCTTCACATTCCAGTATCTCATCAGTATCCTCGTCATCGGTTTCATGATTTTCAACTGAAAAATTTATGAATGATAAGCATATACTATAACAAATTTGACTAAAAACTATTCACTATTTTCTTCTTCAGAATCCGTATTGTGATCACTTTCAATATGGGTATTTTCAGTACATTCATCTTGAATATCACCAATGTCACTTTCACATTCATCTAACCATTGCAATAACTGTTCTTCGAAGTTTTTATCTGATGAGTGTACATCTTTTGAAGTACTAGGCCGAGAATCCATCGTGCTTTTTTATTGTTACGTTTACGCTAACTATACGTCTAGGAGACGGCAATCGATCTTTCACTCAAGATATCTCGAAAACTGAAACATTCACGTTCATCTATTTCTGGCTACTGAATGAGTGCTGTTTGGTGATAAATTACCTGGAAGGGCAATGGCCGATATTGAAAGGGAGGGGTCATTTGATAAATCGGTTGTTGTTGTGCTGTCTTTGAGACCTATGGTTAGTAGTTGAGGGTTAAGAAGATCTTATTCAGTACGTCAACCATTGACGTTCAAATTAACAATAACAACCAGTTGGATATAAATCCTTTAGAGTCTGACAATGTCACAATTGGGGCTGATCCACCTCCAGTTCCTATACTTTTCTCTTCTATACCATACATAAGTGATATAACACCCAAGTTATGCAGAATATTCAAAGATTTAAATGTAAAAATAGCTTTTAGAACCATATTCACCATTAATAAATTATTTTCGAAACTAAAAAATAAAACTCCAATCAACTTTCAGTCTCAATTAATATTATTCTATTCCATGTTCAAAACTGAAAGAAATACATCTAAAAGATTGTTTTTGGAAATGTCATTTATATTACAATCCAATAATTGCCTTAATGAAAGATCAGACATTGATCACCTCAGTGAAATCTTTCTTTTTTTATTAGACATTGACAAAAATCTACCTGATTTCCAAACCAACAATAATTCTAGTTTATCATTAATATAATTTCATAACATTTTAAATATTTTCCCTTTTAAAAAACTTCCAACCTCCCTATGGCAGGGTTTTACTTTCATTAAACAAAACCTCTTGTTTTCCTCAAGACTAATGAGGATGTTGTCAATTAATTAACATATTTGATTTTTGGGTTTTTCTCATTGAGTTACTTACAGAACAGCAGATGTCTCTGATCAAACTTGCACCAGAATTGTTTCCTTTTGTTCCATAGTTTTATCATCTACAAACTAACACACCTTTCCAAGCTGAATTATATGACAGCTGACATTGTCAATTGTTTTGTCTCTCTCTTTGTTCTTCAAGCACATGGCTTTTACCGGTCATCCATGATTTTAAAACATATAACGATTTTTAGTGAATTTTAATTCAATATTCTTCTTTGTATCCAGTGAGGTGTCAACCTCTTTTAATTTAATGATTTGTGTTTATATTATTGACATATTTCAATTGTTTGAATGTAACATTCTTTTCGACACGGCCAACCTCACTAACAGTAAGTTACGCCACTCGCGATGTGGAACACCCCATTTTCACGGTAAAACATATTAGGGGGCAGAATAGGCTCAGAATTCCTTCAGATTCGTGATCAGGACTACCAACTTACTACGATTACACTTTTTTCCTGAAAAAAGTTCAGTCCTGAAAAATCCGAATTTGTCTCACTTCTTATGAAAACACCCCCGTATTTTCCGTAATATTCGAGGTGGAACGATGGAACTCTCAGGACTGATGGGAATGCTCAAAATGCACCTACCACCTGAATGGGGTTGGCCAAAGTGATATACACTGTCCGCCACTCGCGATGGAAAACCCCATTTTTACGGTAAAACATACTAAGGGGCAAAATAGCCTCAAAATTCCTTCAGATTCGTAATCAGTACTACCAACTTACTACGATTACACTTTTTTACTGAAAAAATTTCAGTCCTGAAAAATCCGAATTTGTCTCACTTCTTATGGAAACACCCCCGTATCTTCCGTAATATTCGAGGTGGAACGATCAAATCTCAGGACTGATGGGAATGCTTAAAATGCACCTACCACCTGAATGGGGTTGGCCAAAGTGATATACACTGTCTGCCACTCGCGATGGAATACCCCATTTTTACGGTAAAACATATAAGGGGGCAGAATAGGCTCAAAATTCCTTCAGATTCGGGATCAGGACTACCAACTCACTACGATTACACTTTTTTCCTGAAAAAATGTCAGTCCGAATTTGTTTCACTTCTCATGAAAACACCCCCGTATCTCCCATAATAATTGAAGTAGATTTTTTTTTGTTGTGACATAAAAACATGAACGAAATTGTTCAAGGGAAACTCGACTTTTGTTTTCACATAAATAATTTATTTTTTATTTTGTTGTCAGGAAAGCTATTCCTTCTCAATAAGAGAGAAAATGATAATTTTGTTAAAGGAACGGAAACATGTAATCAGTGAGTTTTAAGGATGGTTAATGTTAGTTCACATTCTCATTTTCCCATTATTTAAAAAAAAAACAAGGATATTTTGTGGCGAAAAATGTTATGTAGTCCAGAATTCTTTTGAAGTACTACTTTCAAAATCACATTTTCAATTAAAAAACAAAACAATCAATTTCAAATTATTTAACTGTTGACAATTTTATATTTTCGTGCCTTCTATGAAATTTCCCTCTAATCGAACACTTTTTTTTTTCTATGCGCCTTCTATCATTTCCTCCAACTCTTCTCAGTTCTCTAGGTGTGATTTCTCTACACGCTTTTATAATTCTTGCACGGATATCTTACTTATTTGTTGGCCTATTCTTATAAACTTTATTTTTCAATTTTCCCCATAAATAAAAATCCAGTGGAGTTAAATCTGGGGATCGTGGTGGCTATACTACGAGAGGGCTATTGGGTCCTATCCATTTCATAGGTAGATTCCTATTCAACCAAACCCTTGTTATGCCACTATTGTGAACTGGTGAACCATCTAACTGAAAAATCATGCTGTGTCTCACATCCCAAGGTAGTTCTTCCAACACATTGGAAAATGCATTTTCGAGAAAATCAACGAATAGTAGTCGTCCGTTTAAATTTTGATAAAAAAAATGGCCCGATAATATTTTCGTTCAGGATACCACACCACACATTAACTTTCTGAGATATTTGGTCTCTACAATTCACTACCCAATTTGGATTTTGTTCAGCCCAAAACCTCATGTTCTGGGAAGATACAACACCATTCGTGGTAAAGGTAGCCTCATCACTGTATAAGATATATTTTAAAAAATTCCTGTCATTGAGATAATTTTCCTGCATCCATAAACAATACTCCATACGGCGGATTTCATCTCCTTCGTGCAAAGTATGTTAAATTTTGGTTTTGAACGCATGCATTTCATGCATATTTTATTGCGGCTCATATTGAGTTGAAGCGATAAGTTTCTCAAACTAATTCTAGGATCAGCTTGATGAGCCGCCAATATCGTATCATCATCAATATGATGTTTATTTATGATGCACTGTTTGGAATCTTTGGTGGAGTAATGAATATTACTGGAGTTTTTTCCCCAACACCAAATCGTTATTTTTAACACCTCGACTTGGGTGGCACATCAATAGGTGGTTCCACTTATGTTTCGCTTGCGTTTACGCAGCTATTTTTTATCGAGAACGTTCTTGGTTTTTCTCATTTTGTCTTCAATCGAAGACCGCCTGCCCGGTACTGACGATGCCCAATAGGCTGAAACAGCTGTTTACCGGTGGCTCCTAAATTGAAATCAATATGGAAGTGATCAAAAAGTACTTATCTATTTATTTTTTCATTTTCATGGAATTATTTTCCAGCAGCTTGATCAGAATTGTGACAAGTCATGTATTGGTCAGACATCTAGAACATTTGATAGTTCATATTGGAACCTCTGACGTAAAATGAATCTATTGAAAACACGTTCCCAACAACAGAACAAAATTCGGTCTCTAGCCGCGCGATTCGCTATCCAAGTTATCGTCGTCAGGAGATCATTATGACAGTCATAATGATCCCCTGAGGACTTTTTCTTTCAGTTTGTGTCTGAAAGTAACTTCTTTGCATGATCTACACATCTATGTACAGAGGTAAATTTTTTAAATTGATTGCTTGCTTCCTTTCTTTGGAAGATTTCTACATTTTTTGTATAAAGATAAAGAAGTTGAAAGCCAAAATTTTTATTTTCCAAAAATCCATCTCTCCTAAAAATTTACGCCTTTCAATTCAATTGAAAATGTATTACAAGATACTCACCACACAATATCTGACCAAATAATGCTGAATTGGATCCCCATTGTCGTTTGGAACACCCCACCTCAACTCAAAGTGGTCAGCATAAGGACTCAACGCGATCTTATCTTCTCTGTTGCTGTTATTTTCATCTTTTCTGTTGTGTGACTCCACCAATATCTTTGGTTCAGCAGGTTCTGACCTCCTTGGCATTGTAACCGACTCTAAATTGCTAAACGCGCCCATTCCTACATCGTTTTTCGCGGCTATTTGAAAATGGTAAGTTTCTTCTGGGACGAGATTTTCTAAGATATAAGGAGCATCTAAAACACATGGTGGCTGAGTAACGAGAAATGATTATATTCTAGATTTTTACAAAATAGGAAATGGTGAAAAAGTATTATGAAGAGGTTGAAGTGGCATTAGAATAACTACAAAACAAGCGCTGTATCCGAATACCAGAACTGCAACTTTTCTCAACGCACGTTTCATCAACGAAGTTAGAGTCATCAGGAAATAAAGTAGACGCCTTCTGCTGACCAGTCTAGTTCATCTCTTAATGATGTTAAATTGGTTGGTGAACCGCGCGTCGAAAGGAGCAGTGCTTATTTTGATAGAATATAATAACGAGCCCTAAAACTCTGGGATTGGATTTTGAATTAACTCGTCAACATTTTTATCAATATATAAATTTAGAAAGCTAAACTATGAACTATTCTAAGATGTGGGTATTATTGATAAGTAGTTGAGTGATATCACAAACTGATATACCAAAAGGAAATAATGGTGTTTCTTTATGACGTTAACTTTATAAACGGAAAAAACTAATTCCAAAACTATTGTGTAATGAAAATATTATTGAAAAGACAGTTGAAAGATAAAACAATGTCAAAATTATTGACTAAACTGGTAACTCGTTAAGCAATAATGATGCCTTTTTTTAAATCGATTGACTATAGCAAGCTTTTTGATAATGATTTGTTTTTCCCTAGGCTATTATTTGAATAAATTGTTGTGAATATGATTCGTTATATTTTATTGAAAAATTATTGATTTGAATGTATTACATACACTTTATTGGGAGTTTTTTACTAGGCCATTCACAAAACAGCATGATGTTCATAGTTACTAAGTACCCCATACCACTGGACATAAATTCCCTATTCTAGAGTGTTCTAGAGTATAACAAACAATTGAAGCAATGTAATACTCTATTTAACTTCAAAGATGATTCAATGAACTTTCTCAAAATGACAAACAAGATTATATTCGAGTGCAAAAATTATTGAGTTTCACAATGTTAGCATCATCAATGCCAACATATGAAAATAAAAATTTATATATTCAGTACCTAGTTGAAATGAAGTTGTTTTCTTGGGTGTCATCGGCATAGACTGCTTGGTCATCAGCCTCGTGGTCTGGGTAGCAACGTTAATAAGTCCCCGAGCCACCAAGAGCATCATAGCTATTCGCAACTTCAACTAGATGTCACGAAACAAAACTGAATTTTATTGCCGTGATATTGCAGTCCAAGGACCGCCGTCTCAGAGGAAACAATAATGGGAATAGAAATTGCTTGTTTTTCATGATATTGAGTTCAGTTTCAGGAAATTAAGGTCTGAAAAATCATTTCCTATGATTTAGAAAACTCTTTTTCAAGATATATGGTTATTTTGTTATTTTAAATAGGGAATAAATGTCACTTACAGGGGGATCTCCAGCCAGTAGGCGTCAGCACCCATACAGGCGTAAGGTGAGCAGGATCGAATTTCATGCTTCTTACTACGCCACCCACCATCGAACTCACGAATTTTCGGTCGTGAGCTAATGCTAATGCACTGCTAATGAAGTTATTGTTATTATTATTATTCCCATCAAGAAAAAGTATAATACTTTGACTATGAGACAGTTTTGGGATTTTGGCAGGGCATCGAACTCCGTGAATCATTTTATTCCCACGCATATTTACATTAGTTCCCAACAGTTATACAACTGGAAGTTTCTATAATACTTACTCAAAATATAAGAGGATAGATAGTTGATCTCGGTGTTAGGTCAAAATTCAAATGTTTTGCACTCTATGGTTATTGAATTCAGAGACCTACGAGTAGATACGAGGGTGGTCTGGAAAGTTTCCGACCTCAACATGAAGGCCACCCTCGTAAATACTCGTATTGTAGCGTAAAACAAAAACCATCAGTTCATTCTGTGCTATCGCTGATCAACCAGACTTCACACAAGAATTCATAGAAGAGTTTGAAATTGTCAACCTTGTCTTCTTTCAATATAATTGATATATGTATGTAATCAGTTCCTAACCAAGGGTGACAGTGTTAAATTGTTGGGAATTATAATTGGTGACTCACTGAACTGGACAGTTCACAAAGAGAAGCTATGTGCCAAAATTTCAAATTAGTTTTCATGCTCTGTTATCTATCTATTATGCTTCTTCCACCCCAATATTTCATATGATACGATTCTAAGGGGTAATAGCTGATGAAGTTTTTCTCCTTTAAAAACAAACTAATGATTAAGTGGTCGATGCCGTTATTTAAAAAAACTCAATTTCCAAAATAATTTTCATATATGATTACAACACTAGAAATGAATCAAATCAAACTGTTTAGTGAAAATCTCACAATAAAGTATTTCTTGAATACGTTATATAGATTTTCATCAAGTACCGGCCGATTCCATCACATAACATATAGCTTGTTGGTTTTCATACCGGCAATGACTCATACAGATATGAATTTACGCCTCAACACTGCTCTGTTGAGCGTAACGCATTTGATTTGTAGTAGTTTTCAGTAGAAGATCGACCTAGAGCATATCTTAGTTCGGCCGTACACGGACCACATATTTGCAGTTGAGGCAACCACAACATTGTGGCCATGTTGACTGCACTTCGCGGCTGATCCAACCACATTTTTGTGGTCGACTTGCGGTCATATAAACCGCACTCGCAGTTGAGGCAACTGACATTAAAAATTGAATGCTGTGAGACCAATATGAGAAAAAGTACACCACGGTGTACGCGGTTGGGTACAACTGGAAGTTTGTGGTTAGTGTACGGCGAATGCCGCGATGACATCTCGGCGGAGATCAGCAGCAAGTTGACTACAGACGCCCGTTTTGACTTTTGTGAACGCCCGTGTACGTGTAGTACAGTATTTCTTATGGGCGGCTTGAGTTCGCTAGAACGAACCTGAAGTGGCTGCATGAAAAAAGCATTATGTTCACCCCTAATATGCTCAAACCTTAATTATAGTAGTTGATCAAGGTAAATAAAAAGCATCATATTAGATACTGTACTGATTTTGCAGGGTGGAGAAAAGAAGAGATAGGAAGTTAGTATCAGTAGAAGTATATCATAATTGATGTCAATTTTTTTCTTGGAAGGTTCCACCCCATACTATTATACAGTAATGTATTATGGAGTTAACCAAGGCATCATACACCATCAGTATCATATCTCTGTTTATTATATTCCTAAGCTGATACCATTTATAGATTAATTTACATAGTCAAGTAGTCTATATAATCAATGTGTTCATTCCTTTGAAGAAAAGTAAGGGTAAGTTTCTAACATTTCCAATTCTTTTATTATCCACGTCAAGACATTAGTGATTTTCGATTATATCATCTTTGAAGTTTCTGTATTATTGGTAGACTTTGAGTTGTTTCTGAGTTGTTCATAAAGTGACATTACAACACAAAATAAATATATAATAATAATTTTTACTAAACCAATTTTCAACTCGGCCAGTGTGAACTTTGACTGGACTATTGCAGTACTATTAAACGAAAAATTGAGTAAATGTTTTCAGTTTTCACTCGAATAATTTTGTGCTTCTCGCCATAGAAGCGAAGCACAGATATTTTCAAGGTCATAGACGGTAAAAAATCAAATAAACCTATCATGAATGATTATTTTCTAATTCATACAATTTTGAGATCTCTATCAAGTTATTAATCAAGTTGGTATAACTTACTGTAACTCCAAGTATGGTTGTTTGCAAACTCCCAGGACAACTCTCTTTCAGGTTTATATTTGATAGTGTAGGACCTGAGTGGCAATCCATCAAAATTATTTGCAGGTATTATACTAAACTTGATCGTGGTAGCTGTGACAGACTCTGGTCTCGCTTGGGCAACTTGTGCTGGTACGAATGCCTGTTTGAGCTGAATCTTTATGCTGGATTGTCCTAATTTGTTGGAAGCAATGCACTCGTACTGGGTAAACAAGCGTTTCTCGTTATGAGGAGTTACAATAAGAAATGATGCAGGCCCGTTTCCAATTTTCTGGAAATTCTGGTTATTTTGGATCTCAATGCCGCCGTACCTCCAAATTATCGTTGCATTAGGAATAGCTTCTGGTAAACAAGTCAGATTCCCAGGTTTGTTGTCCCAACTCCAAACTGGAGGCAGATCTTTTGTCCTTTCGAAGGTAGGTGGAAATTCTATGGTGATATGCCCGTTTTTATATCCTGTGCCTGCTTTATTATCGGCCATACATTCGTACAAACCATCATCGCTTCTGCTGAGATTGGAGATTATCAAAGTACCTATTGCCTCACCTTTTTCCTCGAAGAACTGCTGCTCCATCGTGATCCTTCGATCGTCTAATTGCTGCCCTACCTTAAATGGTTCTCTTTCGCTGAGTTTCCTGAATGACACTTTTGGAGGAGGTCTTCCATATGATTTGCATACCAATTCAGCTTGTGCGCCAACTGGAGCGGTAACATTTATCAGTGAGTATATTTTGGGCCGCACCAGAACGTTGATCATCACGGTAGTTTCCTCTCTGGCAACTGTGTTTTCAGCAATGCACTTGTACACTCCATCATCACTAAATTCTACTCTGTTCATGATGAGCTCTCCAGTGTTTTCTTTTACATCAAATCGATCGGTTATCGACAAGTCTTGGCGGTCCTTCAGTTTAATCCACTGATAAGTTGGAGGAGGTTTTCCTGTGGCTGTACATTTCGCTGAAGCACTTTCTCCTTCTATGATCGTAATGGAGTCGATTGGCTGGATTTTCGGAGGTACTTGGACTTCAACCTGAGAAGATAGATTTACCACATCAGTATATGTCCAAAATAATGACTTTATAATTTGTATAACACTGTATATTTATTTGTTATTGTAACACTTGACACTTTTCTACATATAGAAAATGAAAACAATTCGGTTGTTTATATAAAGTTATACATTTTTTTATACAGAACTATTTCATTACATATGGTATTTCGCAGAAATGGTTGCTTCACTGAAATTTTTCATAGTAGTAGTACTTATGTCAAGTTCTAGATATTCTTGAATACTACTGTAGTAGCCAACGTTTCACGAGCAGAAAGATTGAAACTATCATTACCATTACAATGTTGAAATTCTCACCGTTAATGAACTAAAATTGAGATACTGGCTCAGATATTGATCTGATATAGGATCATATTGTGAAAAAAAGAACCTACCTACCAATTTTCAATACTAAAGTTCAAATGAGGAGTTTGGCTGAAATTACAGTTTTTTCTTAGATGAATCTATACTGATAAATCCAGTTGTTGTTGAAGATTTGTTATTTGATGTGATATCGACAAAGAACACTTTACAAGAGCTTCATATCCGAGAAAAATAGGTCTACAGAAATTTGTCTCATACCTATTGATGAAGCAGGAAGGTATATTTCTGCAAAGCTATGAGAGGAAATGGAAAATCGACACCAAAACAAAAATTACGGTCTCTAGAAGTGCATATCATTAACCAAGTTAGCATCCTCAGGAGATCATTATGTTGTTATGGTGTTGGGAAAGTGTTTTCGATAGATTCATTTAAGGCGAGGGGTTCCAGTACGAACTATCAAATCACCAGAAAAGTTACTGTTATTCTCATTTCAACTTCGATCATTCAGCAAGAATTATTATTTTACTCATATTAGGTATTCAAATCAAGCAAGTATTCTCATATTAGTCCTCGGACATTATTATATTTGTTTCAATAAACGGCAGTTTTGCACTAAAATACTGTTAAGAGTTATAACCAGCAAAACAGATTTTGTTCTGAATAGAAATACATTAAAGGAAAAATAATTCGACGCAATTCAGAAATGAAGATTTCCGAATCGACTGCCGTGTTGGTCGGTGATTCAAGCCCCAGTCTAAACGATCTATTTTCACTTGCTATCGTTCAACCCGTGTTAGAAATCACACATTAAAAGGTAAGACTTTGTTAATCCTTAGCTCGCACAAGTTTCAACTTCTGTGGGTTGTCTTTCGTAGGGGTGCGAGAGCTGGTTGAAGGAAAAACAGATTTTTTAAAACAGTTCACATACCAACTCTTTAACAAGCTGGTTAACTTTTCCTTATACCTTGTTCATCATCCCACATAGCAAGGACTCCCGTAGATCTTCTCTCACATCTCTTATAAACAAAAACATCAAAACTTCTCAATCCAAGATCAATATCATTCCATCTCAGATCGATAAAAGGAAATATAACCAAAACTTTTGTAAGCCTGTTTTGAGTAAAATAGCTGATGGTGACATTAGGTCAGCTATCAGAATCTTGAGCTCCAGTGATACGTTGGCCGAATACGATGAATTCTTACTTTCAGCTCTCCGATCAAAACACCCTCGAGCAGATTTCTAACGCATTCTCTGGATTCGCAACCACCACCCGATTTTTCAGAGTTCCTGGTGTTCCAATTTTCAGAACATGAAGTATTGGAGGTAATTAAATGTTTCCGTTCTAGTTCCGCTGGTGGTTTAGATTATTTTCGCCCTAGCCACATGCAAGACCTCATCAGTCACAGCTCTGGAAATTCAGGACAGAAACTTGTTTCTTTTGTTACAAAATTATGTAATTTCATTTCTTCTGATAGGGTTTCTCCAGGAATGTGTCCTTCACTGTGCGCTCTTCGGAAAAAGGATGGAGGAGTAAGACCGATTGCTGTCGGTATCTTTTATCGTCAAATAATAGCTAAACTTGGTTGTATGAAGATCAAAGACGAACTAGGATCGATATTACTTTCACTTCAGTTTGGTTTCGGTACTGCAGGTGGATGTGAATCTGTGGCTCATGCTGCTCGTAGATATATTAATCTTCATCCAAATCTTGATTCAAAAGTTTTCCTGAAAATTGATTCTGAAAACGCCTTCCAACATGATTGATAGAAACATCATGCTTCGTGAGGTTAAACACCCGTTTCCAGGATTATATCCCTTCTTAAGTCAATTTTATAAATCAGCTTCATATTTGAGTTCAGATGAACATCTGATTCAGTCTGAGAGAGGTGTTCACCAAGGTGATCCCTTAGGAACTACTCTTTTTTGTCTGACCATCGACGAACTCACTAGAAATTTATCATCTGAATTTAATTGATAGTATTTGGGCGATGGCTCAATCGCTATCGATGAAAACATTGTTTCAAAGAATTTAGAAAAAGTTATTGATTATTCAAAATATCTTGGACTTGAACTAATTTTGATAGATGCGAGTTGATTACTCTTTCAACTCTGGAATTGAAATTGGCTTCTGGTATAAGAATTTTGGATGAAGTCTCCTGGGTGCTCCTCTTTCTGACGATTCAGTTTCATAACATCTACGAGAAAAACGGGAATCACTCAAATTGCTGACCACCAGATTGAATAACTCACACTGAAAAATTATTTGGCGATTCCAAAACTTATGTACGCCCTCAGATGTTCCCCCACTTGGTCAAGTCAGTTAGAGCTTGACGAATTTGATAATTCACTCCGTTACATGACAGAATATGTTACAAACAATTATTTCAATAATGATTCATAGCTCCAAGCAACGCTTCCTGTAAGTCTTGGCGGACTAGGGCTTACAGGTTTGGTTTCTTCCTTAGCATTACCAGCCTTTCTGTCTTCAGTCAATAGTGTTTCTGATCTTACTGATTCTATCCGTCCTTCTATAACTATCAATATCAAAGACGATTTTTATGCTGAAGGTGAATCACTTTGGCATGCCGCAACTCTTATTGCTCCTCCTACAGATGAAAAGAAAATAGTAAGGGGATGGGACCGACCTCTTCTGAACATTATAAATGATAAACTTCTGAAATTTACAAGTGTATACGATAATGCTCGTCTGAAAGCAGCAATGATCAAGGAATCGGGTGCTTGGTTGAATGCTTTACCTGTTGCATCTCTTGGAACATTGAAACGGGCTATGATGTCAGCGGATGTTCCTGCAATTCTGGAACCCTTAGGTACCAGTCAAGATGATGGTAAACGACCAGATGTCTCTCATACCATGGGAATACGGTAAACCTGTGATATGGGACTTCACTTGCGTTTGCACAGTAGTGGCTTCCCCTCAAGCTGAAATTTCGAAGTCTGCTGGAACTGCAGCATTGTCTGGCGAAAAATTAAAACGAAACAAATACCAAAATCTTGGTAACAACTATCTATTCCATCCAGTAGCGATTGAAACTTTTGGTGTTCATGGCCCGCGGTCTCTGTTATTCGTTCATGAACTCTTGAAGGAGGTAAGGCCAAGCAACGAAAGATTCTACTACTAGAATTGCTATTCAACCTGGTAATGCTGCTTCGTCCCTTGGAACTATTCCTCCTTCACATAATTCTGATGAGATCATGCATTGCCCTCATTTCAGTGCGGAACTGAAATCTCTTCAAAACAAGTCAACTGTCTATATTCATCAGTCTCCTATCAAGGTTAATTAGTAGGTGATTGATCCACGTTCTTCTTTTTCAGTACGATCAATGGACATAAGTCATTCTTGCCCCCCAAAAATTAGCTGTGGTCCTTGTGGTTTTGGTTACCTTTTAGTAGAAGAGCTTCATGGAGCAAGAGCCGAATCGATCCTTCTACGAAACCCTTCATCACTTGGAAGGATCGATTGCAGCTTGTGAAATGGTTGTGATGCAGATTCTGTAAAACATGTTCTTCCTCACGAATCAGTAGTTCTGAAAATCTTGTGAAGAAAATTGGTTTAGATAATTTAGGAAACACTTGCTACATGACTAGCATTGTTCATATCGAAGAATTTCAAGAACGAGGTTTTAACGATGAACGAGAACGACAATGTTTCCTATTTATTCACCAAACTCAAACACCTGTTCATGTAGCTGCAGTTTCGTAAGAATGTGGCATCTTTCCCACCAACCGATTTCCCTAGAGTCTTTGAAGTTCACTAGATTCTCGGACAACGAGAGTATTGTTCCGAATTCTTGTGGTCCTTGTTGAATACTTTTCATGAGCAGGACAATAGCACAATCAATTCTCCTGACCGCTCTGGATTGAATGATTCGGTACAGTCTATCTCGTTGTGGGTTTGTAATCTTTTGTTGGAAAAATCCTCACCTGTTTGCTTTCTAGTAAATGTTGAAGAGGTAGCAAAAACGTATGTGAATTTCTGGGAACTTCAACTAGTGTTTCCTAATATGACTGATAACCAGTCCATGCAAAGTTTATCATTGAATCATCTGAAAATAGAACTTTCAATACGTGATGATCAACTGTATTGCCAAATATGCGTCAAAATAAGTGATCATTATATGACAACAAGTATAGTGAGGCACCAGTCAATCTAATAATAACACTGATGATCTTCAAACATACGTCAACCTCTGACGGAAGCACCAAACTCTTACGAAGGTTCGAAATTTATGAACACTTCAATCTAGCAGACCACTATTATATATAATCTTCACAGTGTTTCTGGCGTTGAATCTGGTCATTATTATGCATTGGGTCAAAGACGGAACGGACTGGTTTAAGTTTGACGATAGTCGTGTCACTAAATATTCTGGCAATATCTTGAACTTACGGAGCCTCTGGAGACACTCTATATTTTATTATATGGAAGAGAGGACATTGGCAGATCAAGATCTTCAAATGAAGTGGTGCTGCAGGTTTTTCCGGGTTTTCTTGTAGCTGAAAAAGCAAATGCGCCACTGGAATCTATAAAGTCGCCCCGGAGCGCCAATTGATTTTTGTTGTTGTTTTAAATTTGTATTACTTTTCTTTAAATATTTTTCTATAATCAAAATCATTATATAAATTGAAAGGGTATATTTTTGGCAGAGACAAATTTTTGATACAAAAAATATGGATTCGATTCCATTACGAATGTTTGGAATACAACCGTATCATTCAGCTTTCATAAAAAAGTATTTGTTTCGAAAATATTTTTTTTGTGTTCATATGAAAATAGCTGTTTCAAGAGAGCTTTTTTCCAGTTTTTGTCTAAAAGTTACTTTTTTGTATAATCTACACATATTTGTACAGAGTAAATTATTGACATTGATTGCTTCCTTTTTTTCTTTGGAAGATTCCCACATTTTTTGTCTCAAGATGGGGAAGTAGAAAGCCAAATCCTTTCTTTCCCAAAAATTATTATGTGTTTATAGCTTTGATTCTGATATATTCTATTCAGTTTAAGTTGAGTTATATAAATGTATTGCATGTTGTCAATTAAACAAAAGGTAAATTTAATACAGATAGTAACCAAAGAAATTTGGGTAAGGGTAAAAATCACCTGAAAATCAACTTTGAACGAAATATATACCGCATTGGTCCGTATTGAAAAAATTAAGTTGAGGATGGCGCAGAGAGTAATAAACGTTGGATTCGAAATATTATGTCAAATTGAGAAGAATTCACTATCAAATAAAGATACCTGAAACATATTTTGATAATTTTTGAATTAATTGGAAAATAAAGTTTATCTATTTCATTCAACGGACCCGTTATTTTTCATTACATTGGATATGACATTCGAAATTCTCTCTCACACACCTTAACTTTGATTTTTCAGCTTTAAAGACTGGCAGTGGTTATTTCTTGAATGGTTATTTTTTATTTTGATATATACTTTGATTGGTAAACATATGGGTGCATTCACCTGCTTGCTTGATATGGTCTTAAAACAGGTAGGCAATACCATATGGGCAAATTCTCTACAATTTGAATTTTTCATCTTGAAAGGTTTTTTTCGGTAAACCAGTAGGCGAAGGATGATAAAAAATAGATACAAAAATGTTTAACTAAAAATAGCCTTTAACATAATTTAATAGGCAATATACGACAGCTGTCTTAGTCTATGTGTAAAGTTTTATAAAAAGTAAATTTCATTCGGTAAACCGATAGCGAAGGTCGATTTCTATTCGGATGCAAGACTTCAATGAAATAATGAATTTGAAAATATAGCAAAATGAATAGAAAAAAATGGCGAGTATGGGAATTAAAACTGGAATTAAATTCAGTATTTTTTGCTTGAGTAGTATAAACGCCATCTAGTACAGCTTTCTTTAACGACGCCCTCTAGTGGTACTTCTAGTGGCTGCATTCCTCCTGATTGCATCTTTGTATAATAGATGGTGCAAAGACACTTAGCGAAATCTATAATAAAGATATCATTGTAAAGTTGAGAAGGAATCATAATACTGAAATAATGTATAATAGGATAATAGTGAATATATTTATTGTAACTATAATACACATTATACATCACGAACAATAAAGATATTTATAAAATGGACACCTTAGTAATGAGGTAGGTAGGTAGCCACGATGTAACAAGTTGGTTCACGACATGAAGGTAATCTACGAGATTATTAGTACTAACGATTAAAGGTCGTGAAGTAACTCTTCTAATGAATACTATCGAAGTCCAAAATTCTAAGGATGACACATTAGTTTCAAACAGATGACCTCACCTGGCAAATAAATGCTTTAACAAAATGTCATGAAATTACCTGAAAAATTAAATAATTAGTATTTTTATGTATTACAAGCTTTTTTGAGAATATGATAAATTTATTCGTAATAGAAATTGATTCAGTTGTATGAAACTAAAGTATCACAAACGTACAGTAAACTTAGGTACTAGGTGTGTACTACTACCTGTGACTAGGTACTAATGAAGCATGTAAGAGAACATGTAACTACTATGAAAGGTAATTTTGAATCAACCCCATCGTCTGAATACTTTATAGGGTACTTCACAGTGTTTTAATGAGAGTATATGTTGTTCAAGCCGCCATATTCAGTACCTACGCCTTCTATTAAAAGTTTATGAGTTTTGGTCATTCTGTCGGAATAATGTGTCAACCAGTACCAACAACCACTTCTGGTTTAACGGTAACCACAAAACATACAAATATTTTTTCAATGTCAACGCATCGACTGCTAGAGTTATTAGCCTCGTGTTTTGAGTGGGCTATGTTAATATCTTCCCGAGTCATGTAGAGAGCATCATCATAGTTTGCAGTCCCATCAGCCATGTAATGATGCAAAATCTACTTTGACTAGACTGTCTGCACTACCACCTCTACGCCAGAATCAGTTATGGAATCTGGTTGAAGACAACCCTAAAAAATTGAATCTTGTGTGAACTAACTAGTGCACCGAAGCAAAGACTAAAGAAACAGAATGTCTTATGAGGTTTGTTTGATTCCTAGACGGAATAAGCTAATAGCTAATTATGTATCATTTGGAGTGAAACTAAGATTATTTCACTTTGGTTATTACATAAAAATTTTAGATATTTTTAGCAAATATCTAATTTCCCAATTTTTTCTCTTAATTAAGTATAATGTTGACGCTAGTGCCATTTTTAAAAAATAGTCTCTTCATATGGACATATTAAAATATTAACATATACACAAAAATCATAAGCTGAGTAGTGTAAACCATTTGAGGGTTGAACAATTTTTGCCGTCAGTGAATGTTATTAAAAAAAATTCAAAAATTGCATGCATTGACAAGCGACAAAATGTTATTAGTGTCAAAATTTTCAATAGTCCCCATATCTTCTTGATAATTTATTTCGATTTAGGAGATGCAATGCATCGAAAAAAAGGGAAAATTTCGTAAAGATGCGTTATTATTGTATGGAAATCAGTTATTCTAACAGTTTATTCATGTAAATAAAAAATTTACACTTCATATTACAAAAAATATTTTGATTCACAAAGTACACAGCAACCAAAACTAAAGCACTTGTCTCGACGCGTGTCTCGCTAATCAAGTTAACATCATCAGGAGATAACTAAAACTGCAGGTTTTGATAATCTAACGAAGTTCAACTCATTTCTTGATGATGCCAACTTGGTTAGCGACACGAGAGTTTTAGTCACTCCCTCATAAAACCAACTTGGTTAGCGAAACGGGCGTCGAAACAAGTGCTATAGTTGTGATTATTTTACACCAGAGGTTCCAATTCTACGTATTAATTTAATATTTAAAGATGTCCCATCACTCTTATCAGTACTGTTAAAATGAAGAGCTCATCTGAAAACGCTCATCTGAACAGTGTCGCCAACAAAGTATCAAGATACCCACCAGAAGCGACCTCTAAAATCACCAGAAATCCACTAACAAAAATCGCATCAGTTTAAAAAATCGCTAAATTTCCCACCAACTTTATTGTTAGCAAATTTTTGTTCATTGCGAAAGAAAACAATATTTTAAAGATATATTTATTAGAGAAATAACATTAAAATTACACATTATGTAAAAAAAATAATGAAATTATATTATTGAGTCATTTTCAGATGAGTCGTTTTCGTCCGTACCATCATCGTTAGTCTCCGATTGGTAGGACTCTTTGGTGCCAATTAATTTCACAATATTGTTTGGTATTTCATAGTCGTTGCAACATTTTTCCACTATCTTCATTCCGCAGCGGACTCTCAATATAGCAGTTAAAAGATCAAACCCCATCCTGTTTCAATGCTTGTTTTTTATTATATTCATACTGCTAAACAGTCTCTCCACATCGGCGTTGGAATGCGGCAATATTAAAAGAGTGATCGCAAAAGTCGCCAATTCGTGAAATCTTGAAACCCCTTGTACATCTTGGAAATTCAGGACTTCATACCAAAATATTTTTGTATTTTTGGTTTCCTATCAATTCAATTAATGAATTTGTCGCTATTGATCGTCCACTTTTGCAATGAATTCAGAACTTTTATTTGATTGAGCAATAATGTCTATTAGATCTTCTTTGTTATGACTAAGTGCTTTTTCGATACTTATTCGCGAAATTTTTTTCATTAATTCCACATTTTCTGGAAGCCAATTTTTTATTTGCATGCACCGAGTCCGCACTATTTCTTCCTCTTCTCTTGGTAATCCCTTTTCTCGCATTTCGAGTATTTGTTCTTCAAATCGGAATCCCAGATAGCATTTTGGATCTAGAAAGTCACGGACATTTTGGGTAAAAATATTAATTTTATGTGTAGGTAACGTAACCTTGCTGACAAGCATATCTATCAGGTTGGTCAACTCGCCACACAGTAATGTGTGGCGATAAACTCTGTTTATCTCAATTAATATTAGATATAAAAACGAAATATACGCATAATTCATCTCGTTCGCGTACATAGAGTGCAGTAACTCTGCCGTATGACATCTTTCATGCAACTTAGCTATAGAAAAATGAGTTTTCAAGTCTAGCCATTGCGTGTATATTCTCGCAGACTCTATTGACAACCATCTTGTTTGGCATGCTTGAACAAATTTTATGCGGTTTTTGTCCTTCGTTGATGGTTTTATATAAATCTTTATACGCAGTGTGTCTGGAAGATGAACGAGCAAACCAATCATACGTCTCTCTAATTAAAAACTCCAAAAATTCCTCGGCAAAAATTGCTTGGCCGCAGCTGAAACAGCCAGTTGCGAAGAGTGACATAAACAACGTACCAAAACTAAGTGTGGTACTTCTTCTTTCAATTTAGTAAAGACCCCATTATTAACGCCAACCATTACAGAAGCACTGTCTTTACCAATTCCCATTAAATTATCAAGTCGCAGATCAAATCATTTTAGTGTCTTCTTGATAGCAAAGATAATACCTTCAGCATTGCACTCAGTTAGTTCAGCAAGGTCTCCAAAACTGTAATAAATTATAATGACCCCAAGGTATTTTTGTATTGCAATATCTGTAGACTCATCAACCAATATACTGTAGGGTTGATCTTTAATATCTTCTTTTAGGATTTGGGTAAAATGCAACGCCAATATATTTTTAATAACCGAAGTGCACTTGGTTCGGTGCAGTTGCACTTTATTGATATCTTTTCCATGACTTTGATTAATTACCTCACCCAAGTGGTCAACTACACTGATACTGGTATGCATGACTGTGTACAATGCGACTGGCTTCTTTCTTTTTGTTTTTTCCTACAGGCTCTGGTTTGAACGGTAGCTTAGGTTGCGTAACGATTACCTGTAAAAATGTAAATAATAATATACAAAAACCTCCTCTATAGTTTAGGTTACAGCGCGCGCTAAATCATGTCACACTATTCTTCTGGGCAGTTCGTTGAAATAAAAATATTTCCATGACTACCGAACGAAATAATTATGAAACATCCTTCGTATACATACCTTCATATTTTGTTGATGCTTTTTCGACATCCCATGTGTTTTTACATCTCCATTGTGAATCCGTAAAATCGTTCGTAAAACTGATACCTAGTCTAGTCTGGTTAGTCCTTATATACTAAAATTTGTTACCTGAGGTTGTATACCTGAAGTCCAATATGGAATTTCTCGGTAATTAACTACCTGCAAGTTCTTAGTAATTATTCTCTTACCAACAGAAGATTAAAGAGCGGGCTAAACGGGATGGGTCCCTTATCGCCATTCATGCTGTTTTTACATTTTGCTATTTCTAGACTCTCACATGCATCGACTAGCCTGGTGTCATGCACATGCTTAATCAGTTTCAGATTGTTTTCACCAATTCTGTGGTCCTTGTTAGAGAATAATTACTAAGAACTTGCAGGTAGTTAATTACCAAGAAATTCCATATAGGACTTCAGGTATACAACCTCAGGTAACAAATTTTAGTATATAAGGACTAACCAGACTAGACTAGGTATCAATTTTCTTCTCCTGAGGATGCTAACTTTGTTGGCGAAACGCGCGTCGAGTGCAAAATTATCAGTTTGGTGTTAGGGCAATTGATCTCGAAAAAAGTTATTCAACTTTCACACCAAAGGTTCCAATTTCATCGTTATGGTCATTAATGACGAAACACTAAACAAACCGACACCAACTCAATGAGTTTGAACGAAAATATAATAATAAATAATTATCATTATCGAGGAATCCTCGATAATGATAATTTACTGTCATTTTTTTAAAGAGTTTGTGGCCTGGATGCGTGTCCTTTTGGCTGTTTTACCCACTAGATGAAAAAGTGTTGCTGCACGTTAAAATTAACTCCAAAAACGATACGAGTGGACTTTATAGTCGTCGTTTCAATGTTTAAGAAAAAAAATACTAAATTCTTAAATTCCGCTAAACAAATCCACTAGCCACGAAAATCAATATTTGTCCGCTAAAAGGCAAGCCAAAACCACCAGATTCAGTGTAAAATCCACTAAGTTGGCAACACTGCATTTGGAATGGATGAAAGACCGTAGTTGTCTTTAGACACTTTGTGTTTCCGTGTTCTGCGATTCCGATTCTGTGGTTCCGGTATATTGTTGTCTGTGATGCTATGCAAATTCACTCCAAATAATAACTAGATGTGACCAGGATATACATTTTACTTACCAGTTCTAATATTCCTTTTCATATAGTTCATTACTTCCTCCAAATGTTTTCTATTATTACTGAATTTCAATGTAATGACTTATGACTTCATAAAATCCTAATCCTAACTATCACGTTACACAATGTTGGTACTCTTAGTACATATGGTTAACTGTGATATGATGAATCGAGACAATAAGAAAAAATTTGTATTGCAACTTTCTCATATTAGCTACCAAAGAAATAAAAATCATGTATTACCCACGTGTTGAGTAAATTCTGCATTTTTAATGTAGATACACCTCTTCCAATATTTCAGAGGTTTCAATGAAGTAAATAAATTATAGTATTTTCTAAGAAATGTAATAATTGTAAATTAATATACGTTTCAACTATGATTTGAATATTGAAACTTGAAATTAATCAATTTCCTACCTGCAATAGCTTGCTAGCATAACACACTATCAAATACAAAAATATAACGGAACCACATATCGGAATCGTAGGACACGGAAAACAAAGTGTGAAGTGTCAAAAGACAACTACGGTTTTTCATGCATTTCAGTAGATGAGCGTTGTCAGATAAGATCTTCATTTGAACAGTACTGATAAGAGTGATGGGACATCTTCAGATGATTCGCCGTTTTTGGCAGTTTTTTTACGTTGAAAAATATTAAATCAATAGGTAGAATTGGGACCTCTGGCGTAAAATAATTACAACCAAAGCGCTTGTCTC